CTACTTTGCAATTATATTTCTCGTCTACCCTTCAATGTCCCTGTTCATGTGTGAGCCTCTGAATATGTTTTAATTATGGTTATTTATTGGTCTCTCTTTAGTGCTTGCTAAATCAGCTTCACTTTAGAAAGGGCCAAATTTTCAAGGGCTTCTATTGTGTTATCACGTGTTTGTGTGGGTAAAACCCACATTTTCATGTGCAAATCAGTAAATTCAATTGGGAGCATGTATGGAAGTTTTGTGTGTATGCAAAACAGAGATACATTGAAAATTTGGTCCATGGTGTTTACAGTGATTTCTTCAACATACTTAAAAGCAGCACTACCTTGTGGCCCTTATGTATTTTGAACATCAAAGTGTAATTACTATCCCTGTGCAAATCTGGGAATGTAGTCACTGCTCCCTACCAGAAGGTGGAAACCTATAACTGAGGGCTTAATTTGTCTCTCTCACCAACAGAAGTTGGTCCAGTAAAAGATATTACCTCACCCACCTTTTCTTTTGGCTTAATTAAAGTCTCTTTAGAACATTTTCCTATGTCGTATGAAGTAAAACTTCAATTATCTATGTCTTGTTTATCCCCTGATACAGAATGTCATATTTCCAGCAGCTAGTTATTGGTTTTCTCTGTAGCTTTGCAAAAAATGAAGACTTTATCCTTAACAGCCTACCTGAAAAAGTCTGACATAGCTGCAGCTATTTTCTCCTTAGAAAATCAACACATTAGAGTTTGTTGTTGACCTGCAGCTGATGTCTCTTATTTATGAGAGTCTATTTAAATTCCAGATTGAACATGCTTCCTTTACCTCTTCCCTCTGGCTTATCAGAACAACAGTATATGCAAACCGCTCACACATGCCTATTGCAATTGGATACCTGAGAATTCATTTACATCTAGTCAAATTATTTGTTAGATAATTTATCAAAAAAGTTTCATTAAATTATCTGTGAACAAATATCTCCATTATTTGACCAACTCTTTTGCTGATTGATAAAATATTCAAATATTATTCATATTTTTTACTTCCTTTGATTGTTGAATAATTTACCCATAAATACTTTCCCTCTGTTCAACTACAGTAGCTGTAGTTTCACAATATCTTATTCATCAGAAGAAACTGTCCTTGATTATCCTGTTATGTATTGTATTGTTAGGATTTCTGTTCTTTTTTCATATGTATGGAAGTTTTGAGGGATTATCAATGTTTGTAGTACTTTATAGACCTATTGGTTGGATTATGTTCAAAACGGTGCCCTCTACTCTGGATTCAGGGTGCTCAGAGTCAGTGAAACCTAGTTACGGTCTGCATTCCCACATCCTTGATAAACTCTTCCATCAACTGTGTTTAGATATTTTATCATTTCATGTGTTGGCAAATACAATCACTTTCTGTGGGCTTGTCTACAAAGAGCAATAATACCCACTACAGAGACAGGTTTCAGAGTAGCAGCCGTGTTAGTCTGTATTCACAAAAAGAAAAGGAGTACTTGTGGCACCTTAGAGTCTAACCAATTTATTTGAGCATAAGCTTTTGTGAGCTACAGCTCACTTCATCGGATGCAAGAGACATGATTTCTAAAGTGCACCTATGTGTTGCACATGAATTAACCACACAAAAATTGCCAAACTGGGTCAGACCAATGGCCCAGTATCCTGTCTTTTGACAGTGGCCAATGCCAGGTGCCCCAGAGGGAATGAACTAAACAGGACAATTTATAAAATGATCCAATCCCTGTCAGTCCAGTCCCTGCTTCTGGCAGTCAGATATTTAGGAACACCCAGAGCATGGGGCTAATAGCAAGTGATAGATCTATCCTCTATGAACTTATCTAGTTCTTTTTTGAACCCAGTTATACTTTTTGACCTTCACAACATCCTCTGGCAATGCATTCCACAGGTTCGCTATGTGTTATGTGAAGAAGTACTTCCTTTTGTTTGTTTTAAACCTGCAGCCTATTCAGGTCATTGGGTGACCCCTAGTTCTTGTGTTATGTGAAGGGATAAATAACACTTCATATTCACTTTGTAGACCTCTATCATATTCCTCCCCACCTCTTTGTCGTCTCTTGTCTAAGCTGAACAGTCCCAGTCTTTTAAATCTCTCCTCATATGGAAGCTGTTCCAGACCCCTAATCATTATTGTTGCCCTTCTCTGTACCTTTTTCAATTCTATATATATTTTTGAGATGGGGCAACAAGGATTGCTTGTAGTATTTGAGGTATGGGCATGCCATGAATTTATATAGTGGCATTATATTTTCTGTCTTATTATCTACACCTTTTCTAATGGGGTTTAGCTTTTTTGACTGCCACTGTACACTGAGTGGATGTTTTCAGAGACCTATCCATGACAACTCCAAGATCTTTCTTGAGTGTGTGGCAAATTGCCGGCACTACTTTGATGGGTCTCGCGCTTTCTCTTCTTGGAGAGTTCAGGGCACCATTTCTCACCCCTGAACTGGGGTATTAACTGCCCCACTAGTGTCCTAGTGGAGAGGGAGGGACCCGGGCCCGCCCTCTACTCCGGATCCCAGCCCAGGAGCCCTAGGGATAGCGGTAAACCGCTTGAATTAGCGGTTCCTTCCCCTGGGCTACTTCCCTCTCCTGCCCTTCAGCTTGTGGAGCTTCCTGCCCTCCCTCTGCACAAACCAGGTGTCCCTTTACCTAGGGTTTTGGTCTTCTTAGCCCATTGCAGCACTTCTCCAAACTCTCCTCTGCTTCCCTCAAAACTGCTCTCTGCTCCATCACCAATCCACTCTGCTTCAACTCCTCCAAACTGCTCTCTGCTTCAACACCAATCCACTCTGCTTCAACTCCTTTCCTTGTCTGATAGAAGCAGGGGGGTTTTATCAGGTGCTTTAATTAATCTATCGCAAACTTTCTTCCCTCGACAAGGAATAAGGCTCCCTTCTAACACGCTCCTGCTGCCCTCTGGCCATGCTGTATCACAAGTGGTAACAGCTATTTTGGCCCCATAATTTTGTATGTATAGTTGGGATTATGTTTTCCTTTCTGCATTATTTTGCACTGATCAACACTGAATTGTGTCTGCCATTTTGTCACCCAGTTTTATGAGGTCTTTTTTGTAACACTTCACAGTCAGCTTTGGACATAACTATCTTGAGTAATTTTGTATCATCTGCAAGCTATGCCACCTTTTCCTGAACATTTATGAATGTTTTGTGTCCTATCCTTTAACCAGATGCTGGTCCATGAGAGGACCTTTCCTTTTATCCCATGACTGCTTACTGTGGTGTGGGACCTTGTCAAAGGCTTTCTGAAAGTCCAAATACGCTATGTCAGCTGTATCCCCCTTATCCACATACTTGTGGACTTGCTCAAAGAACTCTAACAGATTGGTGAGGCACGATTTTCCTTTACAAAAACCATGTTGACTCTTCCCTGACACATCATGTTCATCTATGTGTCAGATAATTCTGTTCTTTACTATAGTTTCTACCAGTTTGCCTGAAGTTAAGTTTACTGGCCTGTAATTTCCAGTATCACTTGTGAAGCCTTTTTAAAAAATTGGCCTTACATTAGCTATCCTCCTGTAAGAGATTGGGGGGTAGGCAGTCTGGCCTAGCAATCACAGCTGGGCTGAGACCTGCCCACCACGACAGTAGTCACCGGGCAGGAGTTGGCTCTTGGGATTCCACCAGGTTCTGTATGCAAGAGTCAGGGTCAGGCCAAGATCAGAGACCAGAGATAGTATTGAGCTAGAATTGGAGGCAAGAGTCAGGGCCAGGCTGAGGTTGGAGACCAGAGATCAAACAAAGTCTGGCATTGCAGCAGGCCAAATCTGTGTGGTTGCCCAGACAACTTCCTGGGGCAACCCCAGGGGTTAAATAGGGCAGTGGGCCAATCAGAGGGCTGAAGGGTACCATCACTCTGGGAGGTACTTCCTGTGGTGCCTATTCTCCATAGTGCTCCCTGCCTGTGCCTCTATAAGGTCTCCTGGTGGCACTGTGAGGATATTAGTTGTCCCAGTCTCTCCAGACCAAGGTTCTAATCCCCAGGTCTTTACACCTCCAGTCATCTGATGTAGAGGCTAATTTAAGCAATAGGTTACATAGTTCTGCAATTTCATTTCCGAGTTCCTTCAGAACTCTTGGGTGAATGCCATTTGGTCCAGGTGACTTATTACTGTTTAATTTATCGGTCTGTTCCAAAATCTCCCCATATTGACCTTACTCTGGGACAGTCCTCAGATTTGTCACATTAAAAACAGTGGCTCAGGTGTAGGAATCTCCCTCAGATCCTACACAATAGCCTTGTCTTCCTTGAATGCTCCTTTAGCACCTAAATACGCTTTAACAGCATTATGTTAAAGCATACTAGGGATTCATAATTGCACACCAGCAGGATCTAAAAGGGCCAATTAAGGCACAACACATTAGTATGCTTTAGAAATCACACCCCCATAGGTGCATTGCTGCTCTGTGTAGACAAACCCTAAGTGTCAGAGCTTCTAGAACAAAAACATGATTCTTTAACAAGTGTTGCATCCTGCCCCTAATGAAGGGATGGATCTTTCCTTGTGTGTTTTTGTTATGTAAAATTGGAAGATGCCCAGATGCAAACCTTTCCACAGAGGCTTGGCAAACTCTCTGAATCTCATGAAAATGTATAAAGAGCTACGATTTTAATCCATATTCCCACATCAATGCCTTCCTCGCCTCTTTGCCTGTTTGCACTTACTCAACCAGATTCTTGGGGGTTGGGGGGAGGGTGCTGGAGCTGAGGGATTTGGAGTTTGGGATAGCTGCAAGTTGAGGCAGGGGGTTGGGGTGTAGGAGGGGGTGCTGGCTCTGGGGTGGGGCTGGGGATGAGTGGTTCAGGGTGTGGGAGGGGGCTCTGGGCTGGGGGGGTAAGGGCTCTGGGCTGGGGGTGAGGGCCCTGGGGTGGGGCTGGGGATGAGGGGTTTGGGGTGCAAGAGGGTGCTCCAGGTTTGGGGGGGGCCTCAGGGCTGGGGCAGAGGGTTGGGGCACGGGCTTACCTTGGGTGGCTCCTGATCAGCAGCGCAGCAGGAGGCTAAGGCAGGCAGCCTGCTTGTCCTGGGACCACTCTGTGTGCACCCCGGAAGCGGCCAGCAGGTCTGGGTCCTAGGTGGGGGCCCAGGAGGCTCTACGCACTGCCCACCGCCCACTCCCATTGACCGGGAACCCTATGGTTCTTCCCTCCTCCTCCTCCCACCCCCCGCCTAGGCGCAGGACCTGCTGGCCACTTCTGGCGTGCAGTGTGGTGCCAGCCAGGACAGGCAGGGACTAGCCCGCCTCAGCGTCGCAGCACTGCCAACTGGACTTTTAACAGCCCGGTCGGCGGTGCTCACCAGAGCCTCCAGGGTCCCTTTTCGACCACGTGTTCTGGTCAAAAACCAGATACTTGGTAACCCTAGAAGAATAAATATGTTAAAGAGATACTATAGTGTTGAAGGCCATAATAAATACCCAAGGTAAATAACCCTAGGTTGCTATCTCTTCAATGTCTGACATTAGAAAGGTTGTACCACAACAGTAACTCTCAATGGTCAACAGTGCTCTAAAATAGTGAAGTGATGACAGAGAGAAAAAACTGAGGAGGAAAACAACTGGTTTGATAGCCATGGGCAAAGGTGTCCTGCAAAAGCCTAGACTGAGAGTTTTCAAGTTTATTAAAGTGATCACACCCCAAAGTGTGGGGGGAATCATGTGCAAATGACAATGAGCAAGGGACTTGCCATTCAGTTTCCTAAATAAGGTTTGAATTTGTTCATAAAATAGAAATTGAAAAGTCATCCTATCAAGTAGTGCATCAACGGGACTATTTCAAATACTCTCCTGTCTGCCTCACTGATGAGGTCAGAACAGCTTCATCTGTAATGTATAAATTCTCTCTTGGGTATCATGACTCTCAGTGACTTTCTGAGACTATAGAACACCTAAATATGATGCAATCAAAAAGAATGATAGTTTGGCCTTTTATTAGCGCTATTTGCAAGGCCAGAGCATGCAGCAAAGGAAATCTGAACTAGATAGAAATTGCTTTATTAAAACTTCCACGCTATTGGAAATCCCTAATTGCAGAGACTGAGCAAAGGATAAACTTACAAAGGTTCGACCCAGAGCACAGTTCTCATGAGCTCACAGGCATGATGGAGCCTGTCTGAGTGCATGAGTAAGAAAGAATGAATGGCTTCTTTACCTTCCTTCTCAGCTTTTAACACAACAACCCTTTTTGTGCCCTACAGAGGGGAGAGAGAAGATTGTGTGAACTCCTTACCAACCTGCCTTGATATATTCAGCCAAAATTCATCACATCATGATTATATCCAATTTTCCAAGATACTAGAGCTGCCTTGCCAATGTGTTTGGGAAGATTATATCATAGGTTTCCATCCTTGCTGCTGCTGGAACATCCTTGTATTTAAGATCATAGGCACATCTAATTTTTATGGGAGTTTTTGGCTCTTTGGATGCAGTTTACACATAGTGCTCCACAATACATTCATCCCTGAAATGTTTAAGGCCAATTCAGAAAGCAGTGGTCAAAGCCATTTGGGGGTGTTACCAGGGGTGAAAGTGAGCTGGTACGGGCCGGTATGGTGTACTGGTAAGAAGCCACGGCAGTGCTTTAACATCCCTGCCATTTTTGCCTCCCCTGTCGGCGGCTCTGCTGCTAGGGTCTGTACCGGCAGGGCTGCCGATGGGGGAAAGGGCAGCGACGTTAAAGCACTGTCCAGTGCTTTAATGTCGCTATCTCTTCCCCATCAGCGGTATGGACCTTACCAGCAGGGCTGCCCACAGGGGAGGGGCAAAGGGAGCAGCTGCCCCAGGGCTGTTGATTTGACAGGGCCCGGGTCTCCGGCCACCACTACTACTACTGGTTTCTGAATTGAACTTTTTGTTCTCTGAGAAAATGTAGTATTTGAACTCCTTGCTGAATCCTAAATTTGAAACAACCATGATGAATAATTCAATCCTAATCTTAAATTCATTCCTTTTCAAGTTTCAAAACTCTCATTTTTTGTATATTAGGAAAGTGCTTGCTCTTTTGTTACAAGAAAATGATTGAAAGGAATGATTTCTAAATGAAGACTGGTTGTATAAAGTTTATTTAATTCAGGAGAATAAGTTCCATGTGTGACAATAAAATGTTCCTTTTATGTGGAAAATAAGGCATCACTTTATTACAGTTTTATAATGTCATTACATTTGTCTTATGTGGGCATGATTATATATAGATACACATGTGCCTGCACACACTAATATTAAAAACAAAATTTATATATACACATAGATAATATTTTATATTTTGTATATTACACTTTATAGTGTATAGCATGTATGTAATATGTATAATATAGCTCTGTGTATATATGAGTTTAGTTGTTAATACTTTTTGTTTTCAAGATCATGTGGTTTTGGGGAATGGGAGGTTACTGAGCATATTTTACATGTCTTAAACTGAAAGAAATAATAACTTTTTTGCAAATCGGTCAAGATACCATGCATATTTTTTTAGCATCCATGATTTCAACTATGTCTACTTAGTTTCTCCCTGCAGCTTTAAATCAAGGGTGGTTTCTGTTACAATTCAATTACTTTCCCCTGTAGCTGGTGTGTAAAAACATGGCTACTGATAGAAGGCAGCAACTGAACACCACATGGTAAGGATGTGGCTGCTAAACAAACATGATTCCTAATTAAGGACAGCTTCTGTATGAAGATACATGGATTGTGCATGATTTCCAATAAAATATCTTATTTTAAGATAAAGCCAACTCTTCACAGCAGTTGATAACACTAAAAAGAATCCTAGCCCATATGAGTTTACTAGATACGTGGAAAGCAAGTAACAGTTGAAATCAGGACAGTGATGTTTAAACATAGCCATGTAGTTTACTGCTGCTGTTGTGATCATAAATCATTCACTTGGTTCTGAGGAGAATAGTTCAACATGCTCCCAGCACGCCAAGAGAGAGATTGGCTGTGTCCCTGTGAAAATGTATTAAACTGATGAGAAGGAATCCTAAAGAATACTTCCTTTCATTTTAGAAATGGGAGTCAGACCATGTGGATTTAAAGTATTCGGGGCCAATCCTAGAGCCAGACTTTGCTCCCCTGCAAGTCAATGGCAAAACTCCTACTGGGTTCCATGGGAGCAGGATCAGACTCTCTAATCTTTTCCAATAAAGGTTTTGTGTCATCCTCTCTTGTAGGTTCCTTGAACATGTTCAATGCAGATCAGTATCACAACTATTCCCAGATGGCTTCTGTCATAAGAGCATATTCTCATTGGTAAATTGATATCAGTGTCCAGAATTAATGCAAATTACATGCCTAACTGTTATTTTCAGACAGACTAGCAAACTGGGCTTTAAGATGCTGTCTTTATTAACTCTGTGGGTCACATCCTCAGCCAGTGTAAACTGGCATAGCTCCAGTGATCTACTGCAGCTGAGGGTCTGGTGCTGTTTATCTATTTTTCTAAACATAAAAAAAACCCTAAAATTAGAGTTAGGTTGAAAATACTGTACCTTTAAAACAACAAGAGCCCTAAAAGAATATCTGAGTTAAAACAAATGTAAAAAAATAACCAGGAGAACTCGGAGGCAAAATTCCACTGCCTACTTTAACTGTGACACACCCATAGCTCACCAAATAGAGGTTATGGATCTATCATAACTATTACAACATTAGAAACTTTTCACTTCCACTGGGTCAGGTTATCTAATTGTTATGCTAGTTTGCCCTTCAAGGCAATAGCCTGACAAAAGGGAGGTTAAAGTATCAGAAAACATTAGCATCCTCTCCATTCAGATATGGGTATAGGCTAGTGCTGCCAATGAAGTGGGTGGTGCTGGTTGGGAATGGGGCATAATTAGGGCAGTCTGTGGATTCACTGACTCGGCACATCCCTCTAAGGACGGATATCATATTGCTGGTAGGGGAGTGATTAGGCTAATGAATGACTTAATGTCAATATGAGAGTGACTGTTACAATAAATGTATTATTCCAGGTGTGACCTAGAGGTTTTCAGAAGCCCGAGCAATTTCAGTATGAGTTGTGTTCTCATGTATATAATACAAGTTTTGTATCTTCTCTCCAAGCAACCTGCCGCCTTTAATGCTTATTAAAAGTTATAGTCCCCTGCCACCATCAAGTATGAAAATCTAAAGTAGGAGAGCATAATCAACACCAATTGCAAACGCAGAGGGTGAATACAAGACTGGAAGGCATTTTAAGAATTAATACTGTAGGCCTTGCGACACCTGGAAGTAATGCTGAATTTTTTGTGTAACTGTTGGGTCCTCACTAATAAAGCAATTATTTCTGTTGTAACCATGTATGCCTCTCTTTGCTCCAGCTTGCACCTTAACTCAGTGTCAGAACTGGCCTGATCCTGTTGGCAGAGAGGGGAAAGAGAACACGGAAGTTTCTCTTAAGTAAGTGAATCACCTTTTCAATAAGAGGTGGCTTTGTGTTCTATATTCCCAAACACTAAAGGACAAAACAGGCTGAACTGAAAGAGAAAGATCCAGCATGAAGAAGAGGCAAAGAATGAAGCAAGAAGGGCAGAAAAAAGTAAACATTTTTAGGAGAGGACTCTGCTAAGAAACTAGGCTGAAACAGAGCAGCTGCATCAAGGAGACATGGATCCCCCTGAAAGAGAAAAGGAGGGGGGAGGGGCCATCTCCATTACAGGAGAGAGAGGGGAAAAAAACAATCCACCATAAATACACAAATGGGGGAAGGGAGAGACGCATTAAAATAAAGTTTATAAAGAGACAGAAGTTATTTTTCCAGGAGCAATGGAGTTAATATTTCCTGTCCTCCTTCCAAAGAGCTTTAACTTTGTAGATAAATCAACCTGGCCAAAATGGATAAGCTACTCTGAACAGTTTTGTGTTCCATTCAGACTTGTGAATGAATGATAAGTACCAAGTAGTTTTCCTCATTTATACCAGGAGAGATGAGGCAGATGACATACCATACTCGTGATATCAGGACTAATTCCAGATGTGAACAAAAGAGGGAAGAAAGTTGTGACAGATATGGCAATTTCCTGCATATCCTTGGGAGACCTTAATGAATTAAGTTTAAGTATGGGGTCTATTGTATTAAATGCAAAGTTTATGTATCACTGTGGGCTGGGATTGCATGCCACCTCTCCAGGGGGAGATATGGTGTGTGGCCAGGGAGTTCAAAGGGCTATATTGAAAATATGCCAGACAAGAATGAACTTTTGGGACAATATGTGTGTAGTAGATTTGCTGGGGAATACCTAGGGAGAGATAATGAAAATTCCCCCATCTCTGGTTATGCAAAACCCAGTCTTTTGAAGCTACGCCTGGAGGAGCGGGTCATTGCCTGCTGATTCCTTTTTCCTGGAGACAAGATCAGGGGCCTGAGCTGTATAAAGAAACAGCTGAACTTTCCAGCCTGTGCTCTGGTTTTGAACCTGAGACAGTCATGAACTTGTAACCACAGGGAAAATGCAGTTGTAGGTTTTGAAGGATTGATGCTACCAGAGCCCAAGGTTGGAGCTGGGCTGACTTCTGGTAAACTTTTTAGCATGTGCGTCGGTGCTGTTATAGTTTTTAATTTTTTCCTTTGTAATGCTTTCACTTTAAGAATAAATGTGCTTGCTTAGAAAGAGCTGTATGGTAACTTGTGTCCACTGGCAATTACTCTGTTCATAGCCTCGGGAGAGGAAGCAAAGATCAGGTGCTGGCCTGTTTAGGCAGTCTGGATTGCTGGAAATATCACAGGGGTAAATGTCAGGAGCGGGGAGAGATGGAACTCCACCCACGAGAGGTGACGGCTGAAGAGTCAGAAACCTTTAAGTGGGCGCCGTTGGCGGACCACAGAGGAGGAATAACACAAGCAAAACTCAGAATAAACCAGCATAAACTATAAATATTTTATTGTTATATGTGAAAAAGAAAAGCATAGTCATATGGAATAAATTCCACTTGCTTTTTTGGGAAAGAACCAAAATATTTTAATATAAATATTTAATTTTTCACCTCATACTCCCTCCCCCCCAAAAGCTCATAATCTTTTTCAAGACACTAGAAATTATGAATGATCTGGATATACTTGCCTTAATCCATGGGTGCGTCTGCCACACTCTTGGAATATTCCTATGTGTGAAACAACAAAAGTTCATGACTGTCAAAAAATGTGCCAGTTTACAAGGTTGCCAGCTCCCCAGCAATGCATAAATTGCTAGCAGACTG